GATAGATTTTGGTTTTTTTAGTTTAGGTTTGTCCATGTCATTATGGACTTAAGTCTATTTATTTGCCACATATGCAAAAAGAGACCCAAAGCATTGTGGATGCTCTTAGGGCGCATTTGTATAAAAATATACCTTCTATTTTGTTTTTTTTTTTTCTTCAAACGACGTAAATTCATAAAAAGAACACTGTAAACAGTACACCGCTTAATTCATAGGACAACCCAACAAGTAGCCTAATCGAAGCACAACGCATTCACAAGCTCCCAACAGGAATATTATACTCTCAAAAGAGGAATAAACACTACACACAATACACTAAACACGAAACAAAATACTAACATACGTAAACTAAACACACCAAAAAATATACGAAAACACCCAACAAAAGACAGACAAAATCCTTCTCCAGTAGAAAACCGAGCCCTACCCAAGGCACCAGCAGAAAAAGGCCACCATCGTACAGCTAGATCCGCAGTCTAGGACCCCCACTCCCGGAACTGCCAATAGGCCTAGCTGAAGCAGAATCCAAGCCTCGAACCACCACGAGAATGTAGCCGACCAAATCCGGACAAGCATTCGTCAGACCCACCACACAACCCACCCCCCGAACCCGGCCATCACCACAGGTCTACATCCGGGTAAGTCGGGCTTCCCCGAACCTTCACACCAAGGGGACTCAGAGAAACATGGGGATCTAGCCACGCCCCTCAACCCCGGCCGACCCGCCACTGACAACAGCGAGCAGCCATGGCCTCAACCCGCCCCCAATCACACACCACCACCCAAACAACTACACAACTAGAGAAGTTGACGAATTCCCACGAACAAAAACCAAAGCTCAGCAGGTACTGTCCGACGGGCATCCTCCAACCTCCGATGGCGCGAATCTCTTGGAGCAGGCGCTAATCCAGGACAAGGGAGAGCAGCCTTAGGCCATACACCGGCAAGAGAGCCGGCTAATCGCCAAGGAAGGCGACCGAAAATTGTCAAATGAAAGATTTTGTGAGGGTGACGATTTTGGGGGATGAGTGAAAAAGGGTTCTAGTCTTTTTTTTTTTGGTACAGGGACCTTCCGGTTTCCAGATCCACAAGGGAACCGACTAATCCGGAATCGAGCCGGGTAGGACCACAAGGGCGGCAAAGCTCTCCCTCAAGAGTTTTAACACTGCTGCATTCCCAGGGCTCGAACTCGAGACCTCTGGTTAAGCTGGAAGAGACCCAAACCATCTCATCCAAGCGCTCTTGGGTAAAAGGGTTCTAGTCTTTAACAACATTGAAAATATATCACTTCAAAATGAGTTTTTTTTTTTTAACCATAGTTAATTTTGAAAAAAAAAATTATATGGTCAATTCTTAGTTAGATTTTGATTTTATATTAAAATAATATTTAAAATATAATAATTAAAGTTGATTTCATGTAAAAGTAAGAAAGTAGAAGATAAATGATGTGAAGTGATAGTTAGCTAAAAATATATGAGTGGATAAATAGTGAACTAAAGTTGATCTAATGTGTAAGAATGATTGTTCGACATTACTTAATTTTATTAATAATATTGATGATAGTAAAGTTGAATTAAATTTTATGTATGAATTGAATTTAAATTGGAAAAACTTGTTTACGACACACCCTTATTCAAATACTTTTCGATATTAGGTTTTTATATTATTAATAATATTCGATTATATTCTATCGTTTCGAAAAAAAAATATTCGATTATATGTACATATCGACTACTGCATATCCCGTGTGTGATGCAAGGAGTAACTCATATTTTAAATTTTTTTTAGACTTTATTTTAAAATATAATTGTTTATATTTTTTACATCTTATCTAAGTACGAAAAAAAAAAAAACAATTCAAACAATGAAAAATTATACATTATTAAACACTTATCTTTACACAACATTTTTTATCAAAGGATATTATTAAATCTTATAGTTTAAATTTATTTTTTTTTTTAAATTAATTAACCAATCTATGATTGTTAATTTAAAGAAATAAAGGAAAGAATCAAAACTCTAAAGTAGAGCTATTTTTTTTTTAATTTTTATACAAATAAAAATCATCCAATATTTTTTGAGCACTTTCATATCATACTCTCAATGTATACTTCATACCAAATTATTTAATTGTCAACTATTAGTCAAATTACTGATCAAATTAGAAGATAAAATCAAATATTGTCCTATATTATTTTTTATTTGTTAATTAATTTTTTTATCAAACAATTAATATAAAATATCATTCTCATCATATATTTAATTATTATAAAATCAAATTCAATCTAAATGAAGTAACAATCTAAAATTATTATAAAATCAAATTCAATATAATTAAAATAACAAACTAGACAACAAAACATTTGAAATTGTGAGAAATTCTTGATTTACGTCATCCCATCATAAATTTTTAAACATATCTTGTACATTCTGAAGAAAATCATTAATGCAAACCAAACACCGAAATACGATAACCAGCAAGCACTAAAAAACACCACAAATCATAACACTGATTCATAACAAAAATATTAAAAAATCCATTTTCAAATTTCCCCAGCTCCCACCGTCTGAATCACTACCACTTCTTGAATACCCGAAATAAATAAATAACATCATGTAAACACCCAAGTTGTAAGGAAAGTAAGTAAACTACCTTCAAAGGATTAAATATGACCACCTAGATCTATGTTGCCATAAAATTGTTCTATGGAAGCGGACGGGATGCTTAGAAGCTCTGTAATAGCCCATTATGTTATTAATGTGAATTCGTGCTTAGTTCCGAAATATTTATGTTATCGATCATTATCATTTGAAACTAATGATTCCAGTTAAGAGCGTTCGATTTAATTTTCGAAGTCACGTTTATGCTCGGTATAATTTTTAAGTAATTAATCCATGTTCAATCACTCGATAAAAATGTTACCGAGCTTAATCTTGCATGATCATGCACTAATGGACTAACATTAGTGACAAATAACATAATTGAGGCATAGGCTAACCACGCTTAGCACTAATGTGCTTAAGCCGTGCAATTAGTTTAAGTCGTGCGATTACCCCATGCCAAGGTTAAGTGCCGAAGGTTAGAGCTCAATTGTCAAAGTCTTCTATCATCATTACCATAGACATGTGTATGAATATGAGACTTCATCAAGTGATGACTAAGCTAAAGAATAGATGACTACGCACAAGCAAGCCACCTTAGGCCCTAGGCGTGCGGCAAGTGGCGCACGGCCATTGGCCATGATTTTCCCTTTCATTTTCACC